TGTTTGCGCTCAAGTCTGCTTCCATCGCAATCGGCAGGAAAATTAAAGTTCGGGCTTTTCAATTATGCAAAAAGTTCCACTTTTTCGCATTATTTTTGAGAAAAAGTAAAGAATAAATAGCTCTTTGTGGTACGTGGACTGACGACAAAGAGCAATGGCAGAAAATGCAATCATTTCTAAATGCACCTATGCTGGCGACCTCTATTATATGCGGGTTAAAACGAAAACTAAGAAAAACTTGTTATATTTTCTGAGTAAGGACTGAAGAAAAAACAATACCTATAGTTTCCTTTTTTAAGGAAACACTTTTTTCGAGTAACGCTGCATTGTCATAGTGGACACGAGTACGGTAACGCTGAAATAATGGCTGGAAACGTTAATTTAATCAGCAATTTTTTCTTGCAAATTTTCTTAGAATTTCATGAAAAAACGACAAACCTGAGTCACTTGATCTTTTTAAACTTTCCACGGTTGTCCATTGGCAAGACCTCCTTTCCATTTAGTTCTACCGAAGCAGAGAAAACGCAAAAAGATCACTTGGCTTTTCCAGCCTTCTTAATTTATTTTCTAAAGCATTAAACAAGCCTATACCAAATTTATCATTTATTTCCAAGATTAGAATATCAAAACTATAGAAAAGTAAAAAAAACAGAAAACAGAAAACTTATTTATCATAAGAAAACGTACTTTGATCATATGCTATGCACAAAAAATGCGAAAACAAAGAGAAAGATTATCTTTGAACTGTTTTTTAGTCAAATTGTATATTTATAAAAATAAAAATTGATTTTATTGTTTAATCACCAGTGTACTTGTTCTTCTGAATTGTTGCCTAAATCAGCTAATACATCACAATGTTTGTAATTTTTACGTTTCACCGGGAGTTTCTATAAAAGGACAAAACTAGTTTTTTTATACGACAGAAATTAATCCATACTTGACTGAAGGTCTTGTTTGATATTTTCACCGTGGATTGAGTACTGACAATTGTTTTACTACTTTTTCTTTCGCGTTTTGTACTGTTCCTCGTAGGACTCGACTAAATAACGAAAGACAGAATTGTAAGAAAGAATTTCTTGGCGTCTAGAGGGGAAAAAATTGCTTACTTTATCGATATCAGATGATCCTGCGTTCTGTGTAGAATTTGACGTTTTTTTTCTTATATAAAGACGTTTCACCGGGATGATCTAAAGTGCAAAAGAGCATCGATTGTATGAATAAATAAAATAGAGTCAGCTTTTTCGTACTTGGGTTGGTGTGCTTATGGGTGATGAATTTTCATCATTACGTGCTTTGACCATTTTTCGCTTCGTTACGCTACTTCTTTGTCCAGTTTGTCCTATTCCAGCTGCCTTTTGTGTACTTCTACATATTATTGACATGCTCTAAAATATAAACAAAAGAATAATATAAAATTTTTTCGACGAGATCTATTACCTTTCGACGAGATGCAGTAACAGGTTTTTTACTTGATCTGCTAGGAGTATTCTCCTACAAGAATAAAAATAACAATAAAAAAAATAGCTTTGTTGCGGCTTAATTAAGCGTTATACTTACAATGTTAATGTCAGATAAATTTGTAAACGAAGTATTTGAACCAGTAACAGATAGTGGAGGCGGCATAAGATTTGTTGTGGATGAACAATACAGTGTAGTTGTAAATGAATCGTTTATCTAAAACATAAAATGTGCACAAGCACAAAATCATGTGGATTTCATAATGCGAAAAACTTACATTTGATAAAGATAATGAACGTGGAAGTGCATAATAATCGTGATCCGATGAAAGAGAAGAAAATTGTCCTGGTACTTGGATGGAATAATTTGCTGTTGTTTGTTGTAGTTGTGTCGAATAAGGATCGCCAACATAATTGTCATCGTCGTCTTCATTGGAAGTAAACGAAGTATCACTCTATATAATAAAATAAAACACAATTTTTCTTGAGAAAATGATTAATTTACCTCTTTCTCCCTCGTTTTTATACATATTTTGAATAAATTCTTCTTCTTCCTCTTGCATACTGTCATCTGCTTCATCGTCATTCTTAATCAATGAATTAAAATCATCGTCATCTTCGTCGTCCATACCAAGAATCAGGTTCGATTGAGTTATCTAAAGAGAAAAAAACAAAGCGCTTATAGTTACAAAATTTAAAATGCAAAAAAGTTACTTACATCATGTGGTAAACGATTTTGACATATTTCTAGTACACATTTACAAAAAATAGTACATTTGACCCCATTCGAGCCACATTTACAACGTTTTTTACATCCTGACGTACAAGCACATGTTGATAATGATGGATCGCTGGGTTGTTGAGCACCTGTTATCCATTTTATTCTTGTTCTTCCGTCCACATTTTCATAACCAAAATCTTCTAACGGCAATTGGTTGATAAAAGTTTCGAACGCCTGCTTCCAAGTATATACCTGCTTCCAGGCACGAAAACAATGCAAGTTGAAAGCATCACTAGTTGGTGGTAAGTCCCCGGCAATTTGTTGTTTAGTTTGCTTGATCCCTTTTATAGCTGTTGTTTTCCGTAATTGATTCAATGTTGATCTTTCTTCTGTTGCTGTTGTTTTTGGTGCACATGATGATGACCGACGACATCGAATACCATTTTTCAGATAACATGATAACAGCAGCTGTTCAGCCGCAAGCAGCGGTTTCTTTTGTAGCTGTGTACCGTGACCAAACTCAGTTAAATCTTTGTATGATTGTGGACTTGTAAGATATGCATGAAAAAATGTCTTCTTTGTAATATTTTTAATAAACGACGTTGTGTCACAGCTGATATAGCATGAAGAACTAGCAAAATATTCGGTTCGATTTGTTGTTGTTTTAATTTGTTGGCAATGAGTTTAACATTAATAAATGTAATAGTTTTCGTGTAAGTGTTGAACGATTTGAGAAAAATATCGACGTTGGGAATCGTGGGTGAATGTGCAATGGATAATAACAGAACGTCGGTGTCCGTTGCTTGGATGATGATACCACAAAATCTTCCACCATTCATATTTTCATCGTCGACACTAATGTCATAAAGATGTAAAAACATTCTTGTGTCAGCTTCAAAGTGGTCTGATTTTAATTGTTCTTCTATTTGTGGTGACAATAGTTCTTGTTGTAATTTGATTGTATCTTCATCTGGCCCAGCGACAATCAATGTTTTGTCTTGTGGAAGTAATTTCATTAATTCCAACTGAGACCAACATTCACGGACACATTTAGCCAATACTGCACGATTATTGTGTATAAAATGATTGTGGTTTGTTTCTAAAATGTCGTCCATCTTCAGATCATATCTATTTTGAATGTTGTTCTCGTCGTTTCCATGTCGTTGGGTGAATGATTTGACATTTTTGCTGTCCGGTGAATCAAAGACAATATCAATTCGTGTATAACGATTGAATTGTTTAATTATAACATTTTTCAATAACTGCTTGGCATAATTGTATACGGTACAATTTGTCGATGATGGTTTTGTTTGCAGTAAACTTCCACCGTCTATAATCATTCCAAATATTTTACTGTTCGCTGTTGTTGGATCGATGGATGAAAAAGCTGACGGATATAATTGTCTTAAATAATCGACGACAGATGATTTCTTCTGTTGGTTCATCAAATCCATATATTGATTATCGCACAATGAAAACGGTACGGGTGAGAATTCAAATGAAAAAAGTACATCTAACGGTACTTTCTAAATGAATACTACATAAGTCACAGTTAGGTTAACAAAAATCATAAGGTTAAGGAAATTCAAAAGAGGAGCACGTTTTATTTTTCGATATTTATACATAGCTGGATAGAGCTCGACGAGCTGAATCCGAATATGTGTATTTTAACTTTTCGAATCAAATTTTAATGTCGA